TAAATTATTTAAATTATTTAATAGGGGTGAATTAAATAAATTAAATAATTTAAATAATTTTGCTTATTTAAATTATTTAAATTATTTAAATTATTTAATGGGAGGCAATTAAATAAATTAAATAATTTAAATAATTTTGCTTATTTAAATTATGTTAATTATTTAAATTAATTAATGGGAGCCAATTAAATAATTTAAATAATTTAAATAATTTTTGCTTATTTAAATTATTTTAATTATTTAAATTATTTAATAGGGGTCAATTAAATAATTTAAATAATTTAAATAAATTAAATAATTTAAATAAATTTAATTCAGGAAACTTTCCAGACCAGCCAGAAAAAAAATCAATAAAATAGTTTAGATCCCGCAGTTTAATTAAATCATTTAATTGAGCTGTCGGATTTAAATTATTTAATTGTTTTGCTGGTTGGCCTGGAAAGTTCCCGGAATTAAATTTATTTAAATTATTTAAATTATTTAAATTGTTTAAATTATTTAATAGGGGTCAATTAAATAAATTAAATAATTTAAATAATTTTGCTTATTTAAATTATTTAAATTATTTAAATTATTTAATGGGAGGCAATTAAATAAATTAAATAATTTTGCTTATTTAAATTATTTATTTTTTCTCAATTATTTAATGGGAGTCAATTAAATAATTTAAATAATTTAAATAATTTAATTTAATTTCACTTATTAAAACAAAGGAAGGAGCTAAATAGACCCGAAAGGTTGCTCTCTCATATATATATACATATATATATATACTCATGTCTACCCGTACACCGTATGGTTGCTTCCATGTTTGGGTTCCGGCTTGGCTTGCCTCGCATTCCCGCTGCTACTTTGAGGTTTAAGCCCTGATAAGGGTTTAGGGTTTAGGGCTCAGGGTTGAGGGTTCAGGTTTAGGGTTTAGGGTTTAGGGCTCAGGGTTCACATGCTTCGGCCTCTGAGATTGCCTGGTCCTTGTTTCGGAAGTGCAGCAAGCAGAAAAACAACATGGATGCTCTTTGATTTTTAAGGTTTGAATTAGGGTACCTAGACCTAGAACAGACCCAATTTCGTAAGGTGTCTGGCAGGGCGGAAGGGGCGGGGGGGGGGGTGGGGGGGTGAGATGGGGGAGGGAGGGAGACGGGGGAGGGGGGTGGGGGACGACACCCGAAACACCCTATACACCTAAGCCCTAAGATCTAAACCCTACGATTTAAACCCTAAGCTCTAAGCTCAAAAATAAGATCTAAGCCCTAAACTCTAAACCCCAAGATCTAAACCCAAAACTCTGCACCCTGTAAGCTCTAAACCCTAAGATCTAAACCCTTAACTCCAAACCCTAAGCTCTAAACCCCAAGATCTAGACCCTAAACTCTAAACCCTCTAAGCTCTAAACCCAAACACTAAGATGTAAACCCTAAACTCGAAACCCTGTAAGCTCTAAACCCAAGCCCTAAGATGTAACCCTAATCTCAAAACCCTATAAGCTCTAAACCCTAAGATCTAAACCCCTAACTCCAAACCCTAAGCTCTAAACCCCAAGATCTACACCCTAAAACTCTAAAGCTTTGAACCCTAAGATCTAAACCCTAAAGCCTCGTCCTCCTGATGTCTCGCGCCAGGCATGAAGCCAAGCGAGCAGCCATGGAGCGCCTGGGGGCAAGCCCAGGCGTAGTAGAGGGGTCGGAAGAAGTACTAAGAGTATTCCCTCATGGTTCCTTTGAGAATTACTAAATAATAGTGTTCCCTTATGGTTCCTTGAATAAGTTACTAGTAGTATTCCCTTATGGTTCCTTTACTGAGTTACTATTACCATTCCCTTATGGTTCCTTTAATAAGTTACTAAGAGTATTCCCTTATGGTTCCTTTAACAAGTTACTCATACTATTCCCTTATGGTTCCTTTCATAAGTTACTCTTATTTTCCCTTAATTATGGTTCCTTTAATAAGTTACTATTACCATTCCCTTATGGTTCCTTTAATAAGTTACTAATTGTATTCGCTTATGGTTTCTTGAATAATTGTAAACGCTTGCGCGCACCGCCTCGGCAGCCGAGGAAGGGCAGCGGGGTTAAAGGGCGGGGGGGGCAGGGGGGGGTTGGGGGGGGGGGAGAGGGGGGTGAGGGGGGAGGGGGGGGGGGGGGAGGGGTGGGGGGGGGGAGGGGGGGGGGGGGGGAGGGGGGAGGGTTGGGGGGGGGGTGGCGTCCAAAAAAAAAAAATGCGTGGCCCGATCCGGGTCTGCTTGTTCCAGACGGCAGGAAGCCGAGGCGAATTACTCACAGTATTCGCTTATGGCTTCTTCAAGAATTACTACCAGTGTTTTCTGATGGTTCCTGTAATGTTTGCTAACAGTATTCCCTTGTGGCTCCTTTATACCTTATTCTAAGTATTTAGGCGCCTATTGTGCGTGATGCTATCATCATTTAGATGCCCTAATACGGTTACACACATAAATGAATACACACTATTATTGCTTTATGCAGTTATATGTATACGCAGAACCGGCTTAACTAGCTATAAATACCCTACTTTCCTAACCTCAACTTTAGCCACCCCATGAACCGCCAAGTAGGTTCTGGTTTAGGCAGGTGGCTCAAAAGCCGGGAAGTCGGGTTTAGGGTTTAGGGTTTAGGCCTTGGGGCTTAGGGTCGGTTTAGGGTTTAGGGCTTCAACTTAGACCCGGCTGCGGCCACGAGCGCTTGCGTTTGTTGATTGCAGGCGGTGTCCTCAACATCTCCGTAGCTGATCCCAGCAAGCACGCGACACCGCCGCAGGACTTTGCCAGACTGCCTGCTGCACAGGGTCTGCTGCAATCCCTAAACGCCTCTCAACCCTACAAACCCTATGAATCTCTTGAACCCGATAAACCCTATAAAACCTATCAAGCCTACAAACCCTGCAAACCCTAGAAACCCTGCAAACCCTCTAAACCTTACAAGCCCTATACGCCCTGTAAACCCTATAAACCTTACGCCCCAAACCCTGCACCCTGAGTCCTAAGCCTTGAAACCTAAACCCTAAACCCTAAGCCCTAAACCCTAAACCCTAAACCCTAAGCCCCAAACCCCAAACCCCAGCGCGCTGCAGGAGAGGCTCGTTTGGTCCGTGGGGGCCCTGAGCAGTTTCGTCAGAGGAAGTGGTTGACGTTTAGGGTTTAGGGTTTAGGGTTAGGGCTTAGGGTTTAGGGTTTAGGGCATAGGGTGCATAGGGTTTATAGGGTTTATAGGCTTTTAGGGTTTAGGGTTTAGGGTCTACGGTTGCTACAGTCGGCCTGCGCAGTGGGCAGGGAGTCATGATAGTCGACCTTGCTTTTCATTCTTCCGAACCCTAAACCCTAAACCCTAAACCGTAAACCCTAAACCCTAAACCCTAAACCCTAAACCCTTAGCAAAGGATGGGCCCCTGGGTTTCACAGGGTATATGCGGGGCAAATATCGGGCCCCCGTTTATAAGGGACCATGCGTAACCACCTTAGGAGCTCTGTGCTTGAATGTTCTGAGACCACATCGGCCTATACCCCGACCGCCCAGATGTCGCTCTTTCTGTCCACGCAGACAGGCACCCTGCACACTGCCGGCAGACAAGGCGCAAGCGTCATTTCGGATGGCGAGGAGTTTACATACTGGTTCTTGTTTCGCATGGCGTTAAGACGGTTGAGAATGAACCATCAAGTTTAGGGGTTAAGTTTGACTGCCCCACCCCAGACTAGACTTTTGAAACCCCTGACCTTTCAAGTTCTAATGTTCAGGTGACGAGGCTCCAAGAAAGAATGCTAGGCACTGCTCCAGGTATTGTTGACAAGTCCACTGCAACACCAGCTGTTGGAAACCCGAACCCGAGACAGCTTCTGTGTCCCTCTGCTGAAGTTTCTTGCCAGCGCATATCCGCGCTCATGCCGCGAATGTGAGTAAAGTGACAAAGACATGATGAAAGTCTTGCAGTGAGCATCCAAAAGCTAAATCTTAAACCCGGTGTTTAGGTTTTAGGGTTTAGGGTTTAGGGTTTAGGGTTTAGGGTTTAGGACTCCATCTATCCATCGAAGGCATGCGGGCGGTCGGTCCAGACCCTTGCGGGCCAACAGCGTGGGTTGCACCCGATAAGCCCTTGAAGCCCCAGAACCCCTGTAGATGCCATGAACCCTATAAACCCTATGAAGCCTACATATATGTCTATATATATATATATACATATATAACATCTATGTTCATTCAGGTATTAATATAAATAAATATATATATATATATATATGTATGTGTACTTGTTTATTTATGTTTATGTGTTTTGATTTTTTATTTATTTGTTTATTTATCTATCTATTTACTTCTTTATTTATTCAATTATTCATGTATTTATTTCTTTATGTCTTTGCTTATATTACATAAGATATGTGTGTGTATATATATATGTATAAACCCAAAGCCCACTGTGGCATTCATTGGCTCAAGCTCATCGGCTCCGAATGGAGCCCCAGACCTGCGCGGGCCGGGGCCCCTGCCTGAAGGTTCAGGGTTGAGGGTTTTCGGGTTTCGGGTTTAGGGTTTAGGGTTTAGGGTTTAGGGCCCAAGTGTAAAGTGTAGTTGGAACACACGTCTAAGCACCTTAAGTACCCAAGAACTCGGCTTATCACTGGGTGATGAGCGCCCTGATACTTCGAGGTCTGTAGGGTTTCGGGTGTAGGGCTTAGGGCTTCGGACTTCAGGCTTGGGTTTGCGCAGGGTTTCGGCTTTAGGGTTTTGAGGGGTCACCTGCGATTCTGTTCACCTACCGTTCTTTTCATGGCCTTACGCCTTTAAGAGATCTACCCATTCCTGCACTGTTGATGAATGGAGACGGATCAGTGAGAAGTGCAGATCTGGAATTCGTAGCAGTTCCTAGTGCAACGGTGCTGATTGGTTGTACGATTTCCTTACATCTGGGAGGATTACCTAACCCTAAGCGCGTCACCCTAGACCCTAAGCCCTTCTCCCTGAGATCCGAAATTCTGGGGAGGGAGACCTGCCAAGGCACTCTTCCAGACGCTTCCGAGGTCCTGGGATTGGGGCACCTAGGTTGAGGGTTTAGGGTTTGGGGTTTAGGGTTTAGGGTTCAGAGTTTAGGGTTTCGGGTTTAGGGTTTGGGGTTTAGGGTTCAGGGTTGAGGGTTTTTGGTTCAGGGTTTAGGGTTTAGGGTTCAGGGTTTCCTTGTCATGGAACCAACTCATGTCTGCCCTGATCTTGATCACAGCACCTTGCCGCGATCTTTCTGTGAGAGTCCTTCCTCTCCGCAGGGTTCTGAGGTTTGAGGGTCATGGTGTAGGGCTTGTGTTGCAGGATTTGATGACCGCCAAGACTAGGTTGGCTTTTGGGACATGTTCTATTTTCCTTATTTGGGTTAATAAGGGGCCCTATATATGAATATTTTTTCAGGGTGTGTGCAAAGGCCAACCCAGAAGAGTACTCACTTTTGAGCAGTCGTGGGTGATCCATGTTGCTAACAACTATGCATCGGAACTAGCCGGCTGATGTGGTCATCGTTGCGCGCGCGCGCGCGCGCGCGCGCGCGCGCGCGCGCGCGTCGGTCTCTCGGTGTGTTGTCGACAACCCGATTCCGCGAATGCTCGACACGAAGCCCGACGGAAGCCTGCCGAAGACGCAACATCTTTGCCTTCAAAAGACCCTTAGTCCCCGAAACCCACACCCCTGAACCCCCCAGTCCTAAACCCCAAGCCCAAGCCCCCTCAACCCTAAACCCTAAACCCCCAAACCCTAAACCCCCAACCCCTAAACCCTAAACCCCCAAAGGCCTAAACCCCGAAACCCTGACTCCTAAACCCTAAACCCCCCAAACCCTAAACCCAAAACCTCAAACCCCTAGAGACCGAGACCCCTAACGTGCTCCCCTGGCCACAGTTTGCACCGATCCTCGCTCGAGGCAGGTGTGGGAGACTTGCACCGGGTTGAGGGTTTAGGGTTTAGGGGGTTAGGGTTTAGGGTTTAGGGTTTAGGGTTTAGGGTTTAGGGTTTAGGGTTTAGGGTTTAGGGTTTAGGGTTGGAGCGCAATCTAGGGGACTTTTGTTAGGCATTGTATGGGGATGATGTTCGTAGGGCCTTTTGAATGGCTGAGGCTCTTAGGGGTTTTGGCGCGCGCCAGGCGAGTGGAGGTTGAGGGTTCTAATTGGCTTTTCCTCTAAGCCTTCTAAACCCGCTCAACCTTCTAATCCCTCTAAACCCTCTACACCCCCTATAGCCCCTAAACCCTAAACCCCAAACTCCAAACCCCAAACCCCCTCCCCCTTCCCCCCGGTGAATTTGATCCGACAGGTCGGTTGGGGGATGGCGAGGCAGAGGCCGGCCTCATAAAGCGTCAGGTCGTGCAAACCCAAACCCCAAACCCCAAACCCCAAACCCCAAACCCCAAACCCTAAACCCTAAACCCTAAACCCTTAGGGTTTGGGATTTAGGTTTTAGGGTTTAGGGCTTAACCCTATAATCCCTTAAACCCTGAACCCCACACCCTAAACTCTAAACCCCATTCAACCCTGTCAGTCGCCATTTGAGCTGGCAGGTGTCGTCCTTGAGATGGCGAGGAGCACGCCGTGCCAAGCCTCAGAAGAGAGGGGCCTAAACCCGAAACCCAAAACCCGAAACCCCAAACCCCAAACCCTTGCCCTAAAGGTCTAAACCCGAAAGTGTGCCTGCAACCCCGCTCTCCGCACATTTTGTACGGTTATGGCCCCTCTACTGTAGGAACTAGTTTGCATTAACTCCCGGAAATACGAGTTCACGAATCATCCGGGGTAGAAACCCTAAACCCTAAACTTTAAACCCTAAACCCTAAACCCTAAACCTCACGCCGGTTTCTGCCCCAAACCCAGGGACATGTGCGGGTTTCTGAAAAAAGGGATACCCCTTTTTGGGGCTCCCTTTAAGAGGATTTTATTCTATTTGGGGTATACAAGGGGGTACCCCTATTTTTGCAAGTACCCGTCGCAAGTGTGGGCGTTAGTTAGTTTAGAGTTAGGGTATTCTTGGGATGGTACTTGGGTGTGGGTGCAACTGTTGGTGTTCCCGGTGTTGAGCCCCCCAGACTGTAAACCCCTCACCTGACCAGTTCTTTAAATTAGTCTTGGGTTTAGGGCCTATAGGGTTCCTAAGCCCCTAAACCCTAAACCCTAAACCCTAAACCCTACACCCTCCCTGATGTACCCCTTCAAGGGGGATCTATGGTACAGAGCCTACGTCCCCAAGTCCCTTTCGAATCACGGCGATGCGCCTGATAAGATTCTAGGGTCCTTAAGGTTTTTGGGGTTTAGGGTTTAGGGTTTAGGGTTTGGGGTTTGGGGTTTAGGGTTTAGGGTTTAGGGAGGTACTTGGGGAACCTTAGGAAAGTTCAGGGAGGCTTAGGGAGTAATGGAGTACTAGGCTATCGCCCCTTGAGCCCCCCTGAAGAAGGTAAGAGCTGCTAGGGGGGTGGAACCCTGAAGACGGTTCGAAGCCGCTAAGCCCTGAACCCTAAGCCCCAAACCCTAAAAACCCTAAAGCCCCCTCCTGAAAACCTCAGTCGCCTAAACCCCCTGCACCCTCAACCCTAGACCCTATACCCTAAACCGATCCTTGAACACGCTACTTGGAGGCTCATGGCACTTAGAAACGACTTTATACTTGTACTCGTAACCCAATTGGAACCCTATTTTTGTACTTAAGGGGCTTGCACGTGGGTTATAACTACACCTACAATTGAACCCTCAACCCTAAACCCTAAACCCTAAACCCTAAACCCTAAACCCTAAACCCTAAACCCTAAACCCTAAACCCTAAGTACCCTGAACCTTCAGGTAGCCATGGCTTCCAAGCCTTGCAGTTTCGGTGCCTTGAGGTGCTTGCGCGGCGGCGGCGCTGGCCCTTGTCTTCCTCACCGCTGTCTTGCCGCAGTCTCAGCTTAGGGTTTACAGGGTTGAGGGTTTAGGGTTTAGGTGGTTTAGGTGGTTTAGGTGGTTTAGGTGGTTTAGGTGGTTTAGGTGGTTTAGGTGTAGGGTAGGGTAGGGCTTGTGCAAGTTAGGGCTCGCGGTAAGTTAGCGCCTTGGGGGTTTGGGATTTTTAGGGCTTCGGGTCCCAAAAAGGTCTTGGGATTCTGGTTTGGGGACCTAAATAACCATAACCAGAGGGTATTTGGACCTTCTGGGAAACCTCCCCAACCCCTGAACCCTAAACCCTAAACCCTAAACCCTAAACCCTAAACCCTAAACCCTAAACCCTAAACCCTAAACCCTAAACCCTAAACCCTAAACCCTAAACCCTAAACCCTTTCCAAGGTTGAACCGCATAGCCGGAGCCTCAGTTCTTGTTGCGGAACAGGGTGCATGGAGCTGCATGCAGATCTCAAAGTTTTGACACCCTAAGTAAGCCCAAGAGCACTAGCGCCTCCAAAGAACTCTGAACACGCTGAGAACTCTAAACCCTAAACCCTAAACCCTAAACCCTAAACCCTAAACCCTAAACCCTAAACCCTAAACCCTAAACCCTAAACCCTAAACCCTAAACAACCTCAAATGCCAGAGGCATCGAAGAACAAGCAAGTCGCCTCCACCAGGGACCAGGTCGGCTTCTCTGCCCTCACAGACGCCAAGGAGTTCACGACCCTACCGGGCAAGCAAGAGCAGGCCCGAAAACACGTTGAATCGGAAGCAAATTAAGGCTGCTTATTATTATGATTATGAATATTATTCGATCATTATGATTACTATTATTATTGTTATTACGTTTTTGTTTTTTTTTTTGGGGGGGGTTAGGGTTTAGGATTTGGAATTTATAGAGCAGACCAGAAGACCTGTTGAATTGGAGCAAGTAAGGAGTTTGGTTGTGGGCCCTGAAATGTAGGAGTCTGTCTAAGCCCAAACCCCTAAACCCCTAAGCCCTAAAATAGCCTGAACCCTGAACCCTGAAACCAAAGCCCTAGGCCCCTAAACCTCCAAGCCCCGAAACCCGAAACCCCGAAAACCGCAAAACCCTAGCCCCTAAACTCCTGAACCCCCCAAACCTCAGAGACTGGAGGCTGCTGCGAAGCGCGACCTGAGCTTCAACGAGCTGCACCTTCCCACCGTGGACGAGGCATTGGGTCACTTTATGGGTTTCTGTTGGGTTTGGGGTTTAGAGGGTTTAGGGTTTGGGGTTTAGGGTTTGGGGCTTAGGGCTTGGGGGATTGCTGTTTGGGGTTTAGAGGGTTTAGTTTCGGGGTTATAGGGTTTAGATGGTTAGGGTTTGGGGTTCATTGTGTTCATAAGGTTTACAGGGCTTAGAAGGTTTTGTTTTGGGTTGGTTTAGGGTTTGGGGGGGACTGCGGGTTCAGGGAGCGTCTGCTCTGCATTAGCCCTAATTCCATGAAAGCCATGTAACGTGGCTGGCTCGGCACGATCCGAGACTAGGTCTATCATCACCACCGTCGCAGAAACAGAATACCTTGAACCCTTAGACTTCATTCAAAAACCCAAAGCTCTAAACCCTAAACCGTCGAAACCCTAAACCCAACACAAAACCCTCTAAACCCTCTAAACCCTCTAAACCCTCTAAACCCTCTAAACCCTCTAAACCCTCTAAACCCGAAACTAGATTCCCTAAACCCAATCATTAGAGAAACCCTCTGGCCCTGTAAGCCCGAAAGTTAACCCTCTAAACCCCAAACCTAAACCTAAATCTAAACCTAAACCTAAGCCTAAACCTAAACCCTAACCCCCCAAACCCTAATCCACAAACCCCAAATCCTAAACCCTAAACCCCAAACCCCCCAAACCCCAAACCCTAAACCCCACCGGGGGAATGGGAACCTAACTGGCTCAAGGAACAGCGAAGGTTCCAAGAGGGTAGGGGACGAAGCAATGCTGACCTTGAGGGCTCTGTCAAAGAACTGGTTCGCTTGCTCAATGCACATCGAATCCCACCACAAGGGGGACGAGAATGACTACAGATGGACAGATGGGGGGTGGTGGGGGTGGTGGTGGTGGTGGTGGTGGTGGTGGTGGCGGTGGTGGTGGTGGTGGGGGCGGCTGCGGCGGTGGTGGTGGTGGTGGTGGAAGGAGGGAAAAAGGGAGGTTTCACCAACCCCCATCCAACACGCCGCCAGGGTCGGCGGCCCTTAACCACCAACCGTAAACCCCGAAGCCCCAAACCCCCCAAACCCCCCAAACCCCCCAAACCCCCCAAACCCCCCAAACTCCCCAAACCCCCCATAAACCCTAAACCCTAATCCACCAAAGCCTAAACCCTAAAACCACCCAAATCCCACATCCTAAACGCTAACCCCCAACCCCCCAAACCCTAAAACCCTAAAACCCCCAAACACAAAACCCCCAAACCCAAAACCCTATAAGCCCCAATAGGCTTGTATTTCGGTTACAGGTAGAGTTATAATTGGGTGACTAGGTACCCTGAACCTCCAAAGCTCCTAAACCCTAAACCATAGACCCTAAACCCTAAACCCTAAACCCTAAACCCTAAACCCCAATCCCTAAACCCTACAAGCCCGAAAGCCAGGAGCTGACGGAAGAGTTCCATCCGGCCCTTTGCGTGGGGCAGTCGCTTCAAGCGGCCCTCACTTTGGCCGGCCTGAGCATCAAGGCCCGTGAGTTTAGGGTTTCTAGGGCTTCTAGGGTTTCTAGGGTTTCTAGGGTTTTGGGTTTGGGGTTTGGGGTTTAGGGTTGGGGGGTCAGGGTCTAGGGTTGTGAGAGCGGACACAAAGTGGGAGACCCAGAGACCCTTTATTGGGTTTAGCGCTTTGGGCTTGGGTTAAGGGTTTGGGGAACATGCCTTAAATGATATGGGCTTTCCCAAAAAGGGGGTACCCGTGATTTTGGGGGGGGTTCCTGGAAGACGGGTTGTAATTAGCATTTGGGGTGGTGCAGAACGGGACCCCCTAAGCCATATGAGGATCCCACGCGTTTTCCCTAAACGCAAAACCCTAAACCGAAAACCCCAAACCCCAATCCCCAAACCCCAATCCCCAAACCCCAAACCTCAACCACCTAAAGCTTTACGCCCAGGTGCCCCTTAGGCTAAACCCTAAACTCTGAACCCTAAACCCTAAACCCTAAACCCTAAACCCTAAACCCTAAACCCTAAACCCTAAACCCTAAACCCTAAACCCTAAACCCTAAACCCTAAACCCTCATCAAAGGGATGCACTAGTCTCTGGAGAGGTTGAGTGAGGGTTTAAGGTTGATCTCAGATTTGCGGGTGTACTCCCAAAGCTTCGGATTTTGGAGTGTAGGGTCTAGGGTTTAGGGTTTAGGGTTTAGGGTTTAGGGTTTAGGGTTTAGGGTGTAGGACCCTTAGCATAGGGTATGACTCACCTCAGCGAAGAGTTGCAGCAGAACCCTTCAGAAAATAAGGAGTTCTTCAAAACATTAAGGCGGCTGGTTTTGCTTGTAAGAAGCCGCTTAAAGCGCAGCTTCTATGTAATACCAGCTTTCCAAGAACATTAGACTAAACCCTAAACCCTCAAGCGTTTCCATCATAGAAAGCCGCGAGGTAGGCGCCGCCATGAGAGAATGCAACGCTTGGTTTTACAGGCGCTGGGCGGACGGGAGAAGACAGGGTTTCGGGCTAGCACATCTTGCAGCAGCCTTCGGTGAACTCTGCATGACGTAGTGATGATCAAAGGTGCACTGAGGGTCCAGGGTATAGAGTTCGCGTTTTTTGTGCAGTCCAGCGTACGCCTTCACGAAGAATCCGATCACCGGCAAGATTGAGCAAGTCGACACAGGTTGGGCCAGACGATAACTACAGCCTTGCCCGAGATCTGGGGTTTCGGGTCTAGGGCTTAGGGTTTAGGGTTTAGGGTTTAGGGTTTAGGGTTTAGGGATGGAGGTGAGCCTGCCATCACGAATGCGCGTCGGCTCAAGGACCGGGGCATGGTGGCAAGTGCGCATGTTCGGGTCTAATCATGTACGAAATACGAATACCCAACCCTAAAACCCTAAACCCTAAACCCTAAAACCCTAAACCCTAAACCCTAAACCCTAAACCCTAACACTAAATCCGCCCCAAACCCCCCCCCCCCCCCAATTCTAAAATTCGCCTCGGCCAGAATTTTTTTTAATTAGGGGGGGGGGGGGGGGCCTGAACCCTAAAACCGGAAATCTGAAGCCTGGGAGGAGAGGAAGGGAGTATAGGGTTTGGAGTTTGGGGGTTCTGGCTTCAGTTAGAGTTTCGCCTTAATCCCTAAACCGAATTAAACCCTCTGAGCCTTGATCCCTAAACCGAATTAAACCCTCTGAGCCTTGAGCCCTAAACCCTGAAAACCCTCTGAGCCTTGAGCCCTAGAACCTGATTGAAAACCGTAATGGCTCAACTGAGGGCCCGGGAAAAAATCTTTAGAATTACGGTGGGGTTTAGTATTAGGGGGAAGCGCTTAAGAGTTTCAGGGTACTTATCACCCATGTCTAAGTGTAGTCATAGCCCACTTCTAAGCCCCTTGAGTCCCCTGATAAGATAGGGTTATACCTGGGTGATAAGTGCAGCTATATTTGGGTTAAACCCTAAACCCCAAACCCCAAACCCCAAAACCGCTTGTAGTTGGGTTACGAAGTACCATGGACCTCCAAGCGTGTCTGCGAGGACAAGAGGCATCCGGACAGGAGGCATCCCCTGCTGCGGATCGAGGCTGCTTGGCTCAGGGTTCAGGGTTCAGGGTTCAGGGTTCAGGGTTTAGGGTTTAGGGTTTAGGGTTTAGGGTTTAGGGTTTAGGGTTTAGGGTTTGGGGCTAGGGTTTAGGGTTCAGGGTTTAGGGCTTGGGGTCCATAGAAATTGGCTGCTTATCCCGAACCCAGGACTTCCTGGCCCTGCAAGCCCTTAGTCCCTCAAGCTTGCGAGACCTATGGCCACCGAAACCCCTAAGCCCCTAAGCCCCTAAACCCCTGAACCCCTAAGCCCCTAAACCCCTAAACCCTGCTAAGAAGCTCTTTTGGCGTAGTTGAATAGTAATTCCATTGAGCATCCCCTAGAAACCCGAGTAGAATCCCCATAGCCTACTTTACGAACCCCTACTTACCAAGTCAGAAGGGCTTCCAAGCAAACGATGCTTGTCAACTGAGCCCGGCTTTGCGAAGGAGTCGCTGAGGAAGCCGCTGGCAAAGCTGCCCACCACGCCAGGACCGAACCTGCCTTCATGGACCTATATTAAGCATATTGTTAAACCAAATCAATTACAATTAGCCCAAATAGTATCTAGATTCTTACACTTTTTTAGGATGGATGGACTTGGAGGTTCATGGTTCGGGGCGTTCCCCCGTGTACTAACAGTCCATAAGAGGGATTGTAATAGGGGCTACTAGAATCCCCATTAAGGACTGTTAGTAGAGAAGGAAAATCCCAGTTCATGGTACTTATGAACCCAATCAGGACTGCACTTCTCACACAATCCTAACCCCATTAGGGTACTTCAGGGGCTTCCATGCCGGGGATCAGAGGCCGGGTTGCTACATGTTCACTGCTCCAAGCTAGGGTCCCTGTTGGGGTTACTCTTATCAGGCAGCCCCAAATAGTTCGGGTACCAGGGAGCATGATTTTGAGAAATGGCCATAGAGGGGGACAGAAGTTAGAGTTTAGGGTTTAGGGTTTAGGGTTTGGGGTTCCCATCAGGGTCCTGTTATGCAGGACTGAAGCAGAGGCAGTCTACCTTCAGGAACATGTCGAAGGCTGGGCTGCTTCGAGCACGTAGTTTGGGGTTTAGGGTTTAAGGTTTAGGGTTTAGGGCTGAATTTAGGGTTTACGGGGTGCATCGAGTTTCGGCTTTTGGGTTTGGGTGTAGGGTGTTTCGGTTTACGCGGTGGGAAGTTCTAAGATTTTTTGGCACCTTTGCCGTTGGCCGTCGCATCTTGCCGCGTCAAGTCGCATTAGCCAAAGCCCACACCCTTTCTCAAGAACCCAAACCAATTTTATCGCAGGTTACCTAGGAATCCTATAAGGAGTTTTGTGGTCAGAACCTACAAAAAAATAGGTTTCGGTTCTTAAGGTAAATCCTAGAACCACAAGGTGTGGGAGATGAACTACGGGGACGAGTTCAACGAGTTCAAGCGCCTTAGTTGGCCATGATGCAGGGTTTAGGGCTTAGGGTTTAGGGTTTAGGGCACTGCATGGAATCGGTTGTTAGTCTTTGCTTGGGGTGGGGGTGGGAAGGGGCGGGGGCGGCTTGAATACTTATATGCTTTTATAACGTGAGGGGGAGGGAGAGCTGAGATGAATTGAGGTTGCTTGCCGCTCAGGAAAACGGGTGAAACGGCATACAACGTGACAGAGTGGGACCTCTCCCTGGACAAAATGAGCTTCGACTTGGGCAGCTTGGTCTCAGGTGGTTCGTGGCTGATGTGTTACTTGGAGGTTCAGGGTACTTTTAAAACCAATTTTTAAGTGTAGGCATAACCCACTTAGAAGACCCTAAGTACCCCCCAATAGGGTTATACTTGGGCTATCAGTACAGTTATGATTGGGTCACTAAGTACAATGAACACCCTAAACCCCTAAACCCTTAAACCCTTAAACCCTTAAACCCTTAAACCCTGTTGCGGTGTGCTCACGCCATGCCGGACCTCAGGTGCTGAGTGGACCTTTGAGGGGTGGCACTACTTCCTAGCTCACGGGGGAGTGATCTGGGCGACTTGGCAGAGTCTCAAATGGTCGAGTTATGTCACCCTAAGCCCTAAGCCCCAAACCCTAAACCCTAAACAGCTCACTTGCCGAGCTCGTTGCCGCCTGAGAGAGAGGGAGCGAGACGACCTGGACGAAACAGTCGGGAAGCTTCATCATGCTGTATCTTGCTTGAGGCCCCCCCCCCCCCCCCCCCTCACGTGCCTTGCCCTGGTACAAGCCAAGGATACCCGGAGATGGCTCGGAAACTACACCACTTCCGGACTAGCTGTTTCCTCGGCAAAATTCTTGAAGGGCATTGGGGAGTTGCCACTGTGATCAATTTTTTGGCTACATCAGCCAGCCCGGAATCATCGCTCAACCCTTTCGCCCTAGTCATCTAGGTTCCGATTCCTCGCTAGCGAGCAATCATCGTTCCCCAGACAGGCAAGCACTCTGTGACTTGAGAGCCATAATGGCCATAATGGCTCAGAATCTAAAGCTTCATGGGGTGTCCATGCTGACCCCCTGCCGCCGGCTTGAGCATTTCTGTGCTTCACCCTGTTTCCGGAAGACCCCACCTGACACCCGAAACTGAAACCTACAACCTACTGCCAAAATTTTGCGCAAAATTCGCTACCCCCAAATGCACTCTAATTAAGTCCTTCATTCCAGGAGCCCTAACCCCGGGACATCCTGGGGCACTAGAGCCGATAAAGCCCTGAATCCTAGCATCCCAAAGCACAACCCTAAACCCGAAACCCTAAACCCTAAACCCTAAACCCTTAACCCAACTGAGGTTGTCCTCTCCAAAAACGGATCTGTGGCCCTGATGGTTGCGCCAAAGCAAGGCGTGCTCCCGCGAAGCTTTCACCCCCTGGTTCTTAGTAGGGAATGAGGGAATGAGGGGCCTATGTATACCATTTAAGGGATTATGTAGGGCTCTCATTCCCTCATTCCCTACAAAGAACCAGCCAGTTCAGGGTTCAGGGACTTGGTAGTTTGGGAATCTGTTTGTTTTTTTGGCAATTTAGGGTTTAGGGTTGTGCTTTTTTCGGATTTCATGATGCGGCCTGAAAGTTTGAAAGGGTTTCGGGTTTAGGGTTTATAGGGTATAGGGTATAGGGTTTAGGGTTTACACCCTAAACCCTGAACCCCGAAGCCTAAACCCTGTACCCTTCTGAGCCGTGCACCCAAAACGAATCGGCAAAGATCCTAGCTCTGCTCGCTTGCGCCTTTGCGCCCCTGGGTTTATTGCTCTGCCCAATACCCTGAGCCCGAAACCCGAAGCCCTAAACCCTAAGCCCTAAATCCTAAACCCTAACCCTAAAACCTTAAGCCCTAAACCAAGTAAGGGGGGCCTGGGATGGAACGATGTTTGGTGGAGAAGGAGTTTGGGGTTTCGGGTCTTAGGGTTTAAGATTTAGGGCCTTAGGCCCTCGGGTTTAGGGTTTAGGGCCTTCGGGTTGAGGGTTTAGGGTTTAGGGCCTTAGGCCTTAGTTTGGGTTTAGGGTTAGTGCCTTAGGCCTTAGGAGAATTTCGAGTGTTGATTCGGGAAGTTGGGCGTTGCATGGTCCCCCTTCGAACGGCTTCAAATTACGAAGCCCTGCAAGGGCTATGTAGTATACATTTGGGCCCTAGCGCTGCTACATGAGAACCCCTTTATAAAGAGCCCAGGTTACTATGTAGGTACATGGAGCCTTAGGCAATTACAAAATGTCAGTCGCCCCAGGAGGTGCAAGTGACGCAAGACGCTTGATGTCTCAAAAGCACCTGACCCTGATCAACTCCCTTGGCTTTTGGCTCCTGTTGCTTCTTGTGGTCCGTAAACCCTCCTAGGTAGGAGAAGGGGGACCCTTAAAGGGAACCCCTTCTTGACCCTCTTCTGGCTCTCTTAAACAGGGACCTTCTTCAGAGGGTCTGTATCCCCAAGGGTCCCCCTAAACCCTAAACCCTAAACCCTAAACCCTAAACCCTAAACCCTAGACACTGAACCCCTTCAGTGGGGTCATTGAACTCATGCCCAGGGTTCAGGGTTGACTGGAACCCTAAACCCTAAACCCTCGGGCAGAGTTTCGGCCCGGCTGTGCAGTGGGAGGGCTGTTCGCAGGTGCGCCGGTGGCGCGCTCATGTGGGATGTCTGATTCTTGGCCTTAGGGTTTAGGGTTTAGGGTTTGGGGTTTGGGGTTTAGGGTTTTGGGTTTTGGGTTTTGGGTACGTGTAGCCCAATTATGTGTTGGTGTTCCCGGTTCGGTTGGGGGTGGCAGAACACCGGCCCTCTCTCCACACCTACTCCTCCATACAGTGTACATTGTATGTGTGCGTGCTCGAGTTGAGTTGAACAGCTGAGCCTGTGCACTGTCGGTTTGGTCACACTGCAGTCTTGTCTGCAGAGTTTGCCTTGCGTTTTTCTTTTGTCTTCATGTTGCAGAAGAAAGGGCCTGGGCTGCCGCGTCCAAGGTTGGAGGCGGTGGGCCCTTACTGCCTAAACCATGGGGGCACGCCTCGAGCCGCGCCGAGCCACGTAGTGGCAGCGCCACGTGTGCCTTGTGGAGTTGGTTGTCCACGTCCAGATATCTTAAGCGAGGCTGGCGTGCCTGCGTACAAACCGTGCCGCAGAGGAGGTCTTGCGCGTCCGTCTTTCTCCTCGCCTCAGCCGAGTTTGGAGCTCACACTGCCGCTGGAGCCTCCGTCTGTGTGTGCGAGGCTTGGTGTTGGGTTGGCTTTCCAAGTGCAGCCAGGTTCTCGTGCAAAAGACTGGGAGGATGAGCAGTGGCGCTTGTTGGCGGATTCTTGGGTCGGGCTTCTAATGCCCTTTCTCGCTTCGTCGCCTTTCTTCAAGGACCTTGGCGAGCTTGCTCTGGATAGTTTGTGGAAAGTCTTGCGGGGGAAAGCTGCGGGAACTTTGAGGCGGCACTTGTCAGGATTTAAGCTTTGGATGGATTTCATCTATGGCAGGGAGATTGTTACGGCAGATGCGTCAGTTAGCGTGTTGGTCAGCTTCTTGGCTTGTATTCAGCAGCGGCGGAGCGCGAGCAATGCACCAGTGACATCCCGGACTGGCTCTTATGGCCAAAAGGAAGCTCGCAAGGAAGCGCTGCCACTACCTCTAAGCGCCGTCGCCAACTTCGAGCGGAGGGTGCTGGAGAGCATGGGCCAGGAAGAGGGCCTGGATGGAGATGGGTTGCTGACCGTGGCCTTCCTGATCATGATTTGGGCAGCGTTGAGGTTTAGTGATGCGCAGCGGGTCTCCGTGAATGAGATGGACATTGTAGAGGGAATTTTGAGATGCTGTTGCTGGCGTACGAAGTCTTCACGCACGCCTATGCCCTATGCCTTGGGGTTGCTTGACAGTTGGGGTCTGCGGTGACTGGACGCCGGCAGTGGCGCTGCTGCGACAGCGACTGGGAGACGCAGACTTCATGATCCCGGGTCCAAGTGGGGATAGAGCTTCCTTCACCTTTGCGCTGTCCCAGCTGAGGCGTCTGTTGGTGAGCGTTGGAAAGCTACCAGTGGAGGCTGCGGGTGTCTACACATTGCATAGCTTGAAGGTGACGGGCTTGTCCTGGGGTGTTCAAGTTGATATTAACAGTGTGTGGCAGCGTCTGTGGGGCCATCACCGATCTCGCGATTCTGGGGAAGCTATGGCGCAGAAATATGGGCGTGAAGATGTGCTTCCTGCGCTGCGGGGCCAGCTGGCAGTGGTCCAGGCTATCCGGGGAGGTTGGGTGCCGTTAACGCCACAAGTGCGGGGTGCGCGGAGACCCGTCCCAGAGTGTCGTTTGGCCTTCAAGACGGCGAAGTTGGAAACCATCCCTATGGGTTTGAGTGCAACGGAAAGGTCAGAGGACGACACGGATGCCGAGTCATGAGTCGGATGGATCGACCATCTCTTCTTGCAGCTCTAGCGTGTCCGAGGAGATGGAGGCCGAGGATGCCTGCTGCGACGAAGAAGATGATCAAATTTCAAGGGGTCAGCTCCTGCAAGATATGTACGTGGTGAACTGCCTGAGTGCTAGGTTTCATGCTGCTGTGATTTTGGACTGCGGGGTTGTGAGAAGGGCTTGCGCACCTTCCAAGGATATCGATGATTTGCACTGGCAGGTTTGGAAGGAGGACCCCTCCCTGAAAGCGACCCCCTTTGAGCCATGCAATCACTTGGCGTGCGCCCAGGTTTTGTGTGGTGGGTCCGGCGCGTAGTGCGCCCGGTGCAGTCAAAAGCTGCAGCGAGGAAATCTCGTGTGAGATCTGATCTCAGGGGGAGATCGGGGCAAACGTGTGTTTGCCAGGGACCTCAGGAGAGGTTTTCTGTGCGTGCGAGACATGGTCTCCTGCGTGCGAGCGCGTGCTTGCATTTGTCTAGTTACTGTAGTGTGAGTTGTTGCGTCAGTTCGGGCGGGCGCGTGCCTGCTCAGAGAGCTGCAGCGGGGAGATCTCGTGTGAGATCTGATCTCAGGGGGAGATCGAGGCAAACGTGTGTTTGCAGGGACCTCGTAGAGAGGTTTTTGTGAGTGTGAGACTTGGTCTCCTGCGTGCGAGAGTGTGCTTACGTTGGTCTGGTAACTCTGTGTGAGTCGTTGCGGCAGTTCGGGCGTGCGCGTGCCTGTTCAGCTTGATTGAACCCGAGTGGGGCCAGCCAGCTTACTTGCTGTCTTGAGATTCTGTTGGTTTGCCTGTGCTCTGCTTTCCTTGATCTGCGATGGATTGCAAGCAGAAGTTCGGGGAACTGGTGGCGCAGGTGGGTTTGTGCGACCAGGTGAAGTAACGCCTCCAAAGCCGTGGGTTCACTACGGCGGCTGAGCTGTACTGGACACTACAGGGTGGTGCAGAGGAAACCTTCAGGGCCGTTCTGGAGTCTGCCGGAGTGGACATAGGGGCTGCTCCATCCGTGCTTCAATGTTTGGAAGCCGGCAGACTGAGACGCTTGCTCGCTGTTTGCAAAAGCCTGTGCGCGGAGCCGAACGCTGAGATCGGGACAGTTGCAGTAAACTCGGAGGCCTCCAACTTGCTGGGGGTCCCCCTAGCTGAAGCAGCTCTGGAAGGCGTTTGAATCCAGCTATCCTGCGGAGGCGCTGGAATCGGATGGCCAGCCGTGCAAGCAACTCGTGAAGCAAATCATGTTGCAGAAGAAGAATGCCGAGCTGAAATTCATTCCTTGGAAGCAGATCTTGTCGGTGGTGCAGTATGATCGGGCTCGTCTTTCTTGCGCTGGCTCCAAGGAAAAATCCTTGCTGGGCCTGCTGGCGGATGGAACTGGACAAGTCGATCCGGCCGAGGTGGAGATTTCAGCTTCGCCGTTTGCGGTCCAGAAGGTGTTGTGTCTTCGGAGCGTTGCCTGGGCGCTTGTTGATTGGTGCCACCTGTCTTCCGGAAAAATTTTAGCGAACAAGTTCATGATGCTGTATCACCGTGTGGGCTTATCTGAGATGGGTCTGCGGCCGCCGACCCTGGCTGAAGCTGAGAGTGCCGATGCGGAGCTTTGCCGCCAGCTTAATGATCTGCTGGGCCAGGGTCACAGTTTGGACAAGGCAATCCACGAGGCCGTGGTGGTGCGGGATAGCCTTCGCATGTGGCTCCAGCCGCGCCCGAAGCTGCCGTCGGAAAAGAAGCGCTTTTCCCCCTACGGTGCGGAGTCAAAGGGGAAAGGTCGTGGCGCTGGCGGCAAGGGGCGTGGGGGCAAGGGTCGTGATGGAAAAGCGCGCCAGAAAGGCTTGTGTTTTGCTTTTCAGGCTGGCAAGTGCACACTCCCAGATTGCAAATTCCTCCATCAGTGTGAGTATTGCGGCAGCGGTGAGCATGGGAGATCGGCGTGCGAGAAGTTGTTGCAATTGGCCAAAGACGACTAGGGACAGCTCCTCACTCCTAGCATGGACCTGGTAGAGGGGAGTGAGGGAAGCATGCCTGTGTTGGAGCTAGTGAGCAAGGAACCTTGCCAGCCTGCAGACCCGGCGGCGTGCGCTGCGTATCATAGAGTGTTCTTCAAGGATGGGGGAGGCATCTTGAGTACACTGGACTGGCAGGTTCCACCTCCTTTCGCTCTATGTGATCCTCTGGCCTGTGTTAGATGTGCGATTTGGGGCTCAATGCCGGCAGATGCGTGCCGTAGGGCGGCAGCTCTACCGGGCAGAGTGTTGGAGCGGCCGTTTTTCTCAGATGAGGAGGTGCACACCATGCGGGCTTCCGTCTGCTCTGCGTTACATGTGGATTTGGATTGGGCAACGCAGCGTTTTGAGCTCACGCCGTACAAGCTGAACTTATTGGAGTCGCTGGCCAAGCGTATGGATGATCCGGATGTGCCCTTGTGCGAAGTGCTGAGACGTGGTGCGCCCACTGGTGTGCGTCGGCCGATCCCCCCCATCGGGGGTGTGGCCGCTTCTCTCCGACCGAGAATGCAAGGAGGTGTGCGATGTTTGCGACTTGTGCTTGTGCACCGCCAATCACGCTTCAGCGGAGAGGGAACGTTCCAGAGTGCGCGAGTTGGTTCAGAAGGAGCTGGATCAGGGTTACATGGTTCACATTGAAGGGGGTCTGCCCGCAGTGCAGCAGCGTTTTCCGCCGGGCGAGTTGGCGATCGGCAAGCTGGGTGTGGTGACCTCTCCGGGCAAGGAGGACAGATTGATCGGCGACTCCAAGGCCAGTGGCGCCAGCCCTGCTGCTCGTTTCTGTGAGAGAGCGGAGGTTCCCTCCCTGTACTAATTCACGGCAGCGCTCAACCGGTTTGCAGCTTGGTGCGGCGGGGAAGTGGACTGCTCCGCTTGGGTTTTATTCTGCGTGGATGTTAAGGGAGCGCACAAGTCCATAAGAACTGCTGCAGAGGACGTGGGTTTCTCTGTCTTCTCTTTGGAGGGCGAATTTTACGCGTACGTGGTAAATCACTTTGGCGCCGCTTGGTCGGCTTACTGGTGGAGCCGTCTCTCTTCGCTTTTGATGCGGCTCATCCACATGCTCGTTCGCCACAAGCACCTCGGTGCGGTGTATGTGGACGACTTCTTACTTTTGCTGCCTCGGGCTGCGTTCGCAATGTTGGTTGTGCTTGTGCTAGCTATCCTGCAGATTTTGGAGGTGCCGCTGTCGTGGAAGAAGCTTGCCCTCGGAAACGACCTCACGTATTTGGGCTGGCGCCTGACTCTGATCTCGGGATTCTGGGCGGCGCTGCCGGAGAACAAGCAGGGCAAAGTGTTGCGGGAGTTGGCCTGGTGGCGACTACATCCACGTCGCGTCCCTCGCCGCGTTCTGGCGCAGCTGCTAGGCTTCTTGCTTTGGGCCACTCAGGTCCGACTTGTGTGGAGGGCCTTCCTTGCTCCGCTGTTCAAGCGACTGAACAGGCCTGGAGCGCGCTTGCAGTGCCTGGAATGGGGTCAGCTCGAAGAGCTGTCTCTCTTGCTGGAGGACGGGCTTGTGGTACAACGTGCTGCGTCGACGAGCGATGTCCAGAAGGGATGGAGGCTTTGCGAAATTGGCAAGCAGCCCGTCGGCTCGGTGGTGGAGGCGAAGAGGCTGCTTAGGCAGCCTCGCGTGTTGACCGGGAAAGTCTGGGTGCGCTTCTCTGTCTGGACGGCCAATCTGGACTTGGACCAGGTCTGTTTGGCGGCGATGTCAGTGTTGCAGAGGGCTTTCCGCGACAACTCTTTTTCTTGGGCTGGCGAGGTTGTCCTTAACAACGGAGCAGCAGATGCCTGGGCCGGGGCGTCCGTGGCCGGATTGGGAGGCTGGTTCTGCTCTGGTGGTCAGCTTCGGTGGTTCCACTTGGAAATTAAGGGTGGTCAGTTGCCTTCAGCCTGGGCCTGCCCAGAGAGGCTGCAGGAAGCGATTTGCGCGCTGGAGCCATTGGCGCAGCTGGCGCTCGTCTTGGCGCGTGCAAAGATAGTTGGTGGGAAGTTCACGCACGCAGTTCGCCTGCGTCAGTTTGGAGACAACTTGGCGGTGGTGGCCTCGTGCAGCAAGGGCTTGTCTACTTCGGGTACTTTGTCGTTCGCTTTGATGACACTAGCAAGCGCTTGCTTGGATCTTGGTGTGACGTTGGACATGTCGCATATGGCGGGCGAGAGGAACGTGGAGGCGGACAGCCTGAGCCGGCTGAATGATCCAGAAAGTCCGGCGCCATCCCCGGAGTTGCAGTCCAAATTTGGCGTCTGGAACCGAGTGCGTCTGGATTTGGGTGAACTTCTTGAGCCTTGGGCGAAGTTTCTGGGGCGATCAAGTTCGCTGTAATGCCTCAATTCGGCACGTTGTTTCGAGTGTACTGCGTAGCGCTGTGCAGTCGCGCAGATTGTTGGGGGTATAGGGCGCGCCTGGGCAGAGCCAACCGGCAGTTCTTTGGGGCTTAGATGGGCCAGTTGGCTCTTGACTCTTGACTGTTGCCCGGCATTTCCTGCAAAAGGTTGGCGCGCCCCTCCCTTGTGTTGTGCATACGGGGTTCCGGAGAGTAGGTTTGGTGTAGAGGTGTTGGTGTTCCCGGTTCGGTTGGGTTTGGCAGAACACCGGCCCTCTCTCCACACCTACTCCTCCATACAGTGTACATTGTATGTGTGCGTGCTCGAGTTGAGTTGAACAGCTGAGCCTGTGCACTGTCGGTTTGGTCACACTGCAGTCTTGTCTGCAGAGTTTGCCTTGCGTTTTCCCGCCCACCCACCCTGGTTGCTGAGCAGCTGGGTAGTGGGGCCGGGGCTTAGATGGGCCAGTTGGCTCTTGACTGTTGCCCGGCATTTCCTGCGGCTTAGATGGGCCAGTTGGCTCTTGACTGTTGCCCGGCATTTCCTGCAAAAGGTTGGCGCGCCCCTCCCTTGTGTTGTGCATACGGGGTTCCGGAGAGTAGGTTTGGTGTAGAGGAGTGCAGCTATCACCCCTATGCGCCCCTTAAGTACACTAATAGGGACTTAATTGGGTGATAAATGCAGCTGTAATTGGGCCTAAAGTATCCTAGCAGGGTTTAGGGTTTCCGAAAGCTGTGGAACCTGTAGAGATCACAGGGGTGTCCCATCCTATGGCTGCGGGGCAGGGTTTACGATAACAGGGGACCCCCAAAAAAGACCCCCAAGATAGTAGGATCCCCTTTTATAATAGGGACCCCAAGAGGGTACCCCCCTAATTTCGGAAAATATAGACCCCCAACTAGTAGGATTTCCTTATATCAAGGACCCCAATATGGTACCCCTTATTTTCCGAAACCGCTAAACCCTAAACCTTAAACCCTGAACCCTGAACCCTAAACCCCCAAAGCTCAGGTGCCCTTGAAGCAGTGGGTGCACGTCGCGTGCCAGCGTCGGGGGTCCTTCCTGGACTTCTTTCTGAGCCTCGGGTGCCCTGGTTTAGGGTGTAGGGTTTAGGGTTTAGGGTTTAGGGTTGAGGGTTTAGGGTTTAGGGTTTAGGGCTCTCTCAGAGCCTGCCCATGCCGTCGAGGCTTTCAGCTCACCTTTCAAATGGCAGTGCTAATACTAACCCTACACCCTAAACCCTAAACCCTCAACCCTAAACCCTCAACCCTAAACCTAAACCCTAAACCCTGAACCCCTGATCCCCAAGTTGTTTGTGAACGTCAGGAATGGCACCAAAGTCTGCGACGTGTCGGGGCCAAACGAACTGGACGACCTAGAGCCGCAGACCACGGTGAAGATTGGCCGCCCCTCGGTAGGTGTTTGGGGGTTTCGGGTTTCGGGTTTAGGGTTTAGGGTTTAGGGTTAGGGGCTTAGGGTTTAGGCTCTTTAGTCTGTAGGGTTTAGGGGGTGCTCAACTCCCATGGAAGCCCGAAGAACACGGGGGATACTCTAAATCTTGGTCCGGGGTTTCGCGTTGAAAAATGCCACTGCAAACCCTAAACCTTAAACCCTAAACCCTTCGCCCCAAAACTCCAGGATTCCCAGGGTCTAGCCGTCTTGGGCTCTCTAAGGCAAGTTCTATGGTCCCTTAATATGGTCCCTTGCCTTCTCAAAGGGTTCTCAAGTATGGGCTTTTTTTTTTTTTTTTGGGGGGGGGGGTATATAAAAAAAACCCTAAACCCTAAACCCTAAACCCTAAATCCTAAACCCCCAAAACCCTAGTATTCATAAAGTCATCTAGGGTGTATAGGCGTGTTGGGCCTCAGGTGCAGCGACCAACGAAGCGGACTCCGGCCTTTCTTCCTTGGTCTCCAACATGCGGCTGACCGGCTCCGCATTGTACAGACCGCACTTTGCCCTACTCCAGACACGATCTAGAGGGTTTAGGATTTAGGGTTTAGGGTAAAGGGTAAAGGGTAAAGGGTAAAAGCTGCAGGTGCGAATTTAGGGTCCCAAAGTCAAGGGATACGAGGAGCAGTCTTCCAGAGGATTCCAAGGCCATGCAAAAACCAAGCCCGACGCCACAAGGTAATATACAGCGAAGCCCTAACCCAAGGCACGAAGAACCCCAAAAGCCCTCAAGTCATGAAGCTCTACCTGAAAATTCATGGGGCCATGACAAGGAGGGTTGTAAATACACCCCCCCCCCCCCCCCTCAAAAAAAAGAAGGTTATAACCAGACCCAAGCCTATAGTTGACCTGCTCTTCTTCTTGATAGCCCTACACCCTATACCCCTATACCCTAAGCCCCTAAACCCCTAAACCCCTAAACCCCTAAACCCTAAACCCTAAACCCTAAGCCTAAACCCTGCACCACTGAACCCTAAACCCTAAACCCTAAACCCAAGGTCCGCTCTGTCTGCTCGCATCCCCGCGCGACATTTGGATCTGCATCCGAAGACGCGCTTCCTGCTGCAAGGAGGCGCGGGTGAGGGGTTTAGGGTTTAGGGTTGAGGGTTTAGGGTTGAGGGTTGAGGGTTTAGGGATGGTATGCTGCCTGAACGTATGCTGCCTTAAGATGAGAACCCTTGCTCAGCATGTCTGTCCTGTCCGAGGCTACCTGGACCGGGTGAGCTGGCGACCTCTTCTCATCTCAGGACCTCAGCACCTCAAGCCCAAACACCCTGAACACGTAGGTTTAGGCTTTAGGGTTTAGGGTTTAGGGTTTAAGCTGCATGGGCTGTTCTCTAAGTTACGTTCTCTTTCTTCGGGCTTCGATGATGTGATCATGCCTTCCCTTCAGCTTCCGCTGTCACAGATGCCCCCCCCCCAGCCTCTTTCAGAGAAGGATCGCAGCAGCAACCCGAAATCAGGGATGCTGCAGGGTTTAGTTGAGGGTGTCTACGTTATAGGGTTTAGGGTTTAGGGTTTAGGGTTTAGGGTGTAGGGTGTAGGGTGTAGGGCTAGGGTTTTGGGTTTTGGGTTTTGGGGTTTTGGTTTTGGGTTTTGGGTTTAGGTTTAGGGTTTAGGGTTTAGGGCTCCATTTGTGGTTCAGGACATGGGCTCATGGAGGGCGTCATCAACCGCGGGCATCCTACGCGAAAGTCCCTCTCCAGCTCCAGAGAGACCCAAAGACTCCGAGGGGATGTCCTTCATTAGGGTCTAGGGGCTTGGGGATTTGGGGATTTGGGGGTTTAGGGTTTGGGGTTTAGCGGTTTGGGGGTTTAGGGTTTTGGGGTTGTGGGGTTTTGGGGTTTAGGGTTAGGGTTGATAAAGCCTGAACCTAGCCTTGGCCTTCCTTTGGCCACCTGTCTGCAGCGTCGGCTCGGCCACGCGACAACAGGGTTTAGAGGTTTAGGATTTAAGGGTTTAGGGTTCAGGGTTTATGTTTTGGGTTTAGGGGCTTAAACGTTCTCGGGTTTGTAATGCAAGTAAGGAAGTCTCCCCAACTCGCGATCCATCTTTCAACGGGTCACCCCCCCCCCCTCCCCACCCCCAGGGTTTTGGAATACTGTACTTTCATACTTTGATTGGCTCTGCGTTCCTAGTATAGCTACTTATACCTAAAATGTATTTACTTTTTCCAGGGTCTTCTCCAAAGTCGGTAGCTCCTCTATTAACCCCCCCCCCCCCCCCCCCCACCGGCAACCCAATCGCAAACGCCAACTCCTAAACCCTAACCCCAAACCTAAACCCTAAAACCCTAAACCCTATAGCTCCAAAACCCCCCGAACAAGAAAATCGACAAGCTCATCCCGGAAATTCGGGGTAGGCTTTAGACTTTAGGCTCCTCCCAGCAGTCCTCGACCCGAATAGCTGCGCAAAACTCGTCTTTCACAGATTAAGACTACTCCCCACTTTAAGGATGAGGAGGGTTAGAAGTATATACCTTAATTACGGTTATAGCCATAGTTCCCCCACATCTAACCCTACCCCATGAAACCCTCAGTAGTTAAGGGCTATCGGGCGAGGTCAGGTGCTAAGACTCAAGGAAGGGGATCGCACGTGGTCGCTGCAAGGAGTTAAGGTCGGGGCTTTGGGAAGGGCTGATTATTGGGGGCGCATAGGAGTTTATAAGGGTTTGCTAGGGCCTGCAAGCGCTTTTTTCTAGGGCATATTGGGGCTTAAGAGTTTTCATGGGTTGACTAGGGTTTGTAAGGGCATATACGGGCTTCTGGGGGCTTGCAAGGGTTTATATGGGTTTTCCAGGGTTTGTAAGGGCTTATTAGGGTTTATTGAGGTGTAGGGCATCGTCTTGCTTCCCACGCCACGGGCAGATTCTTTTAATACCCCCCCCCAGGTTGCTTTGATTCATGAAAAGGCTACAGACCCCTAGACCCTTACAAGATCTGGTAAACCCTACTAAAAACCTAGAGTAGCCCCTCATAGTAGGGTAGACTCCCTTAAAGGGTATATGTAGGGCCCTAATTCCCTCATTCCCTGCTACGAGCCAGCCAGTCAATCCCAGCTGCTACAGCCAAGGCTCAAGCATCCGGCCATGCGCGAGCTGCAGCTGCACATCTTCCCGGATCAGGACCCTAAACCCTAAACCCTAAACCCTAAACCCTAAACCCTAAACCCTAAACCCTAAACCCTAAGCCCTAAACCCTAAACCCTAAACCCAGTTGGGACGTTCCCCTTTATACTAACAGTCCTTAATAGGGATTCGAATAAGCTCTCAACACCAAGCCCCGGAAGCCTTGAAAACCTCAAGCCCTATACCTTCCTCAGGAGACTCGGGTTTAGGGTTTAGGGTTTAGGGTTTAGGGTTTAGGGTTTAGGGTTTAGGGTTTAGGGTTTTGGGGACTTTCAGGACCGTTCCTTGCCGGGTGGCCTCCCACAGAAGTGGGGGGAGGCTGGCAAGAGATCCGCCTTCTGCGCTCGGACGATCTTGACAATCATCAAGGACAGGGATTTGAGGTTTATGGTTTGGGAACCCGAAGTCCTTGTCACATGATGCCCCCCCATTGTTCAAGATCACGGACGTGAGCCTCAATCCCCAATCCTCAAAACAAGTCAAGAAAGCCCCGACTCCTTTGGAACCTAAACCCTGGCATAGAAGGTGGCTTCGGCTTGGCATCTCATGGCAAAAGTCTGTACAGGTAATTACGTACCCTGGAGACAGGGACTCCGTGGTAAAAATGGGGACCCCCCAAAAGGCACCATCAATTAGAGAACAGCCCGCATGTTTACATGAAAGGAGAAGGGACATTCACTCTTACAATACGTTAACGCATCGGCCCAGAAATCACAAGCAGTTTCAATGCGATATGAATAATGATCCCATATGGTGGATCTGCAAGTCTCCACGTTTAATACTATACCTAAACTTCTAAACCTATATATATATGTGAACACACACACACATATATATATATATATGTCTGTTGAAGATGAGTGAATAATTCTTCACGATAATATACCAATAATCAATATACTCATGTTGTTGGATTTGCAGCCAAATAAAGCACATTTAGTAAGGTTGGATACATTGCAGCTTGAATAAACCACAGCATATCAACTTTGATTTGTTGGTCTCTACACTTAATATCAGAGGTCGCCATTACAATGCATAATGCTTGTAATACCCAGATGATAATTACCAACATAACTGAAAACATTGGCAAACTTGTAGAAGAGTTTGGCTATTTCTTTCAGGTAAGATCGTTTCGAAAATGCATGTTTTGAGCCTGGATTTACTAATTCTACTGCAATTCCACAATTAAGCTGGATGCTAGTTTTTGAGATTGATTTCTAAAAATAATGCACAGTTTGCGGCGCGACGTGTACGAACTGATTTCAAGTTTGGTGAGAAAGCAGACAACATGAAACATATATGAGGAGATGAAGTAAAGCCGAAATAACCGGATGCTTTGTTGAACTTGACCCCCCCCCCACTGCCACCTGAATATGAAGTGAGTTTATCCTGACCCTCTTAGTGATACAATGGTTGGCTAAACCTGTTCAAAACTTGATTAAATTGCACCGGACATGCAACACATTACCGAGCTGAAATTCGTGGAAGTTTATGGATTTGAAAGTCTGGCTAACTTGCACCCTTTTTGCTGTCACGTAGAATTAACGCAGCATCACCACTCACTGTTGACCCATCATCCTCAAAAGTACATTCGGTTGGATCTGTTGGTTGTCTGTCTATGGACTCTTCGTTTTCTCGTCTGGATTCGCCATATTTCGTCCACCGTTTGAAAACTTTCTGGTGAAAGAAATGGCACATTAAATTAAAGGAGACGGTAAGGCAGCTGACTTGTTTTTGCGGTTGTAGAAAGAACGCTGCCACCAACCAAAATCCAACGGCGTTAATGTGCTAAATCTAATTCTTAGCCATTCTCAATTGCTTCTTTTGCGAGTAAGAATGCTAAATGACAGGCTGGCATCTTAGCATTTTGTAGAGGTTTAATCATGTAGTGATCTGACCGGTTAAAGTTTGTTATATCACCAAAAGTTGATATACCTTCAAAGCAACTTGGGGGGTTCACGAAAGTAGGAGACCCCCAAATACAGTCCCCCAAATAGTTGGATCTGCTTATAATAAGGACCCCATTGAGGTACCCCTATTTTAGGCAATCCCCATATCAATTCAAAGCAATTTTCACTTCTTCAACATGCGGAGGACGCCGGCACCATCGCTGCCTCCATTGAAAGCGACCTCAAGGTTTGTCAGGCCCGGCCCCGGACGTGAGGGTTTAGGGTTTGGGGTTTGGGGTTTGGGGTTTGGGGTTTGGGGTTTGGGGTGACAAGGGTAGGGTTTACCTGCGCCCTTACTTTGTACTTAGTAGCTGAGAAGGGAACCTTTAACCTTTTGGGCCATATAGAATCCTACCATAATTGAAAGGTTGACGGTTTTTAGAGCCAGGGTACTCAGAAACTAGGTGTAGTCGCCCCTTTTTGTTGGGTAGGGGTTCGGGTTCCGGGTTTAGGCTTTAGGGCTTCAAACCCTAAACCCTAAACCCTAAACCCCCGAACCCCGAACCCCCTAACCCCTAAACCAAGTTTAAGTAGGGGTGCTTAGGCCCGACCCGACAGGACAAGAAGCTCGTCGGCATGGAGTGTGCAACCGCAGCCACGCGCACGGTCCGCTCAGCGGGCAGTGCGGCAAAGTACATGGCGGAGCGCCCTTAGACCCCCAAACTCCAAGCCCTAAGCCCTGAACCCTGAACCCTAAACCCTAAACCCTATCCTAAACTTACCCGAAACCCTAAGCTGCCCTGTCGGGTTTGGAGAGGGCTACGAGTGTAGGGTTCAGGTGTTGTCGGGTTTATAAGGTTTACAAGGCGAGGTTCGGATACCTATCTTGGAACCGATCGAGTTCGTGTCGAGTTTGCAAGGCCAGGCGCCCAAACTTAGCTGCCGTCTTTTTGCGGGTTTAGGCGGCTTAGCTGCCCCAAACCTTTTAATCCGAAACCCTCAACTCTACATATTTTCCCCCTGACCCCCTAGACCCTAAACCCTGTAAACCCCAAACCCCCTAAACCCTAAACCCCCTAAACCCCCTAAACCCGAAACCCTAAACTCCAAACCCTAAACCCCAAACCCTAGACCTTAAACCCTAAACCCTAAACCCTAAACCCTAAACCCCTTTAATCTAAGAATTGGAGGGCCGCGCTCCAGGAGCTCCCTGTACGAGGCTGCGACCAGAAATGGCCTCCCATCTGCAGAATCTCTCAGAGTCTGGGGTTTAGGGTTTACAGAGTTTAGGGGTTTGGGGTTGAGAGTTTAGGGTTTAGGGCTTGGGGTTTAGGGTTTACAGAGTTTAGGGGTTTGGGGTTGAGAGTTTAGGGTTTAGGGTTTGGGGTGATTAGGGCTTGTGTGCATGCATGGTGTTCGGTTTTTAAGGCTGTCTAGGTTCTCTAAGGTTTAGGGCTCTAGGCTTTTGGGTTGTGTGGGCCTCTGGCCCATCAAGCCTTTATCGGGTGTCAGGGCTCTCTTCTCCCAAAGGATCCATGTACCTATGTGGTGCAGACTTTGCCGCTGAGGCCCAAGTAGGTTGCGTGGCTCCATATGGGTAGTTCTCAAACTCAAATTCGGGCCCCTTTTTGGGCACCCTCAATATTCGGGCCACCCTTCTAATAGTAACCACACAAGGGGGTTCAGGGGTTAGGGTTTAGGGTCTAGGGTTAGGGTTTAGGGTTTATGGTTTAGCATTAGGTTTTTTGGGTTTAGGGTTTAGGGTTTGGGGTTAGGCACATGGATTGCCTGAGCTGAACACCCTGCCAACGCTGGCAGAAATGGCGACTTGCCCCCAGGTTCCGCGGCTACGCCCGCTGTGCAGGTCGTATGGAGGCTCTTCAGGGGACCAAGTGCCCCAAAGTTGGGGTTATATATACCCTGTACTACTAGATGTCCTATGAAAGATATGTGAACCCTAAAATTATCGTCATATACCCTATACTACCTAAGGTATGTGAAGCATACACCCTTTTGGGGGTCATGTGGTCCCCAAGGCTTCGTTGGAAGCAGAGACGGCCAGCTCAGGGTGTGGTGGTGTTCCAGTCTTGTGAGCATGGCCGGGCTGAAAGCTGAAGTTGAAGCTGAAGTCGTTGAAGCAGCCGTGGTTGAATAATTAGGGTTTAGGGTTTAGGGTTTAGGGTTTAGGATTCGGGATCCACTAAGACGTGCATTTAGGGCGTCTGAGATGTCGTGGTTCTAACCCTAAACCCTAAACCCTAAACCCTAAACCCTAAACCCTAAACCCGAAACCCGAAACCAACCCTCTTTGAGAATCTCCACCCCCGCCGCAGGGCGTCTCATGGGAGCTGGATGTGCTGGGTACCGAGCTAGGCGACTCAACTGGCAGCAGAGCCCAAATCTTCTCAAAAGGGTTTAGGGTTTAGGGTTAGGGTTTAGGGTTTAGGGTTTAGGGTTTAGGGTTTAGGTTTTAGGGAGCTTTCTCATCTTGCACGTAGTCCGACGTAGGTGTCCTTCATTCTCTGCGGGTAGCGGTGTCTGCGAAAGCAAAGCTTCGACTTTTCCTGCGCCTGTTGACATGCAACCCTAAACAGTAGGGTTTGGGGTTTAGGGTTTATAGGGTTTATAGGGTTTTGGGTTTAGGGTTTGGGGTTTAGGGTTTAGGGTTTATAGGGTTTAGGGTTTATAGGGTTTAGGGTTTAGGGTTTTGGGTTTACAGGGGTCAGTGTGGGGCAGAAGGGCCATGTACCATTCCGAAGCGCCTGGTCACACTACTCCTCAAGGGGGGCGGGTCCCAGCATTAATCCAGACACCCGACACCCTAACCAGACGATCTTTTTTTGGAAGTGACCGTGTGCTTTCCAGCAGGAACCTCCGAATACGCAACCCTGAACTAGATAACGATTGGGCTTGCTACTGTCTGCTTAAAAACCTCCCCAACAAATAATCTTTACATTACCTTAATAAGGAACGACATACGTGTGTATATGTGTATATATATATATGTATGATATTTTGGGGGAAGGGGTTCTTAAGCAAACAGTGGCTTAGCATTGTGTAGAAAGGGCCAATTGTTGAGAGTTCAGCCGTGTGAACTGCCAACAAAACACGGAAACGATCCGGTTCGGGTCCACGTTTATGCGGCAGTTGCTGAAAATGCTGGGCGGAGTGTGCCAGTGCCACCTTTGAATGCTCGCCACACAGCATGTATGATTAGTTTTTTTTTTTTTTTTTGCGGGGGGGGGGGGGGGCCTGCCTGCCCAGGCTTGACGGTTGAATCTTGCCACAATCTGGACCTCGACTACCAGCACATCCGCAGAAAAAACGCGACAAAGAAGAGCATCAATTGGGGCACCTTTGCTGTAAGGCCTAAACCCTAGACCCTAAACCCTAAACCCTAAACTGTAAGGCCAACTCTCCATTGTAGGGTTCTTAAGGGAGGGGGGTTCAAGGGCGGTGTGTACCTGGGGAACCTAGGGGAGCCTTAGGGAGTGGTGGGGAGTATTAGGGAAACTTTAGGTTACATCCCCCGCTTGAACCCCCCTCCCTTGAAAACTCTATAACTCCAGATTGCCAGCTCTTATATAAACCCCCAAGGGGCTACTTCAAACGTTTTCTTATTATGGTTCTAGCCTGGGATGTTCCCCCTTATACTGACAGTTCTTGGTAGGGATTAGAACTGGGGGTACTAGAACCCCCGATCAAGGACTGTGAGTAAAAGGGGGAACATCCCCTAAACCCTAAACCCTAAACCCTAAACCCTAAACCCTAAACCCTAAACCCTAAACCCTAAACCCTAAACCCTAAACCTTATAAACCCTAAACCCTAAACCCTACGGCTTAGTGTAATAACAGCCAACCCCAGGCCACCAAGGGAATAGTTACAACGCTTGTCTTTTGATGGTTCTAAGTTCTAAGAGGCCTTTAGGTGGGTTTAGAGTTTAGGGTTTACGGTTTACGGTTCGCGGTTTAGGGTTTACGGTTTTGGCTTCAGGGTTTAATTTAGGGTTCAGTTTAGGGTTTAGGGTTTAGGCCGTTTGGGCTTTAGGGGACTGGCGTTAGAGGGAATATAGAGCCACCGAAGCTCCTCAGGTAGGTGCGCCGGCGAAGTTGCCGCGTCCGCTGGCTACGCGCTCCTTGGCGAACGTTGGACTCATGAACCCTAAACTTTCTGAATCCCAAAAGCCATAAACTCTTAACAGGGTTTAGGGTTTAGGGTTTTGGGAAGATTCTCGTGGCATTCCATTCAATGAGCAGTTGGTCTGCATCATTCTCATCCCAGATCCACCGCGGGCCTGTATGTGGCTAGTGCCGCGGGCTATGACTGCCCTGCGGCATTGACGACCAAGAAGAAGAAGGACGGGATCACATGGGCTTGTATTGATGCGTTCATAGAAATATTCCTATTGCTCATCAGTGCTTCTCCGAAAAAAGTTGCACGCAGGCGTTCTTGCTCGCAGCTGGTCTAGGAACTCCCCCAAGAGGATACCCCCTTCTTTCGGAGCCCTCCCTCGTCCCTGATATGATGATAAGGCATATCGGAGTCCATGGGTAGTGGCCCACACTTGCAACATTCTGGCGCACCCTGCGCCCTAGACCCGACTAAACCCTAAATGCTGCAGGAAGCCTTCAACGTCTCGATCCAGCAGCCGTGGGCGTACAGATGGAAGACGAAACGGTGCCTTGGGCAGAGCTCCCAAAGACCTCAACGTGCGGGGTTGAGGGTTTAGGGTTCAGGAATTGGGGTTTAGGGCAGATTCCTGGAAGTTTAACGGGGATTCTAAGATGAATTACAAAGCAGCCCTTAACTGGACGCCCTTTTGACTTAGCAAGTAGGGTTAGTAAGGTGGGTTTTGGGGCTGACATCCGGTTTATAGAGGATATTAGGTAGACTTGCAAGTCAAAAGAGCTTCTAAGCAAGCCCTAAACCCTAAAGCCTAAATCCATAAACCCTAAACCCCAAACCGATTCCTGATTTAAGGGATCTCGGGAGTCTCGGAGCTTCGCTTGGTGAGGTTTCGTTTGGGAGCGCGGTTTGAAGCTATGGTGTCCAGGGGCTTTGCCATATTGTTTGTTTATACAGGTTTAGGGTGTAGGGTTTAGGGGTTGATAGGGTTTGGGGTTGGTGTAGGGTTTAGGGGTTGACAGGGTTCGGGGTTGTTGACGGGGTCTATGGGGCATACTGGGTTGTTACTAGTAGATGCACCTGGGCTTACGGTTTGTAGGACTTGAGATTTTAGGTTAAAAGGTCAGAAGATTTAGAGCGCACACGCGCTTCAACGAGCCCCTTTCCCAAGCTGGACCTAAACGCCAAACCCCGAACCCTATAAAACCCTTAAAATACAGGTCTACAGGGTAACCAGGGGAGAAATCGGGTTAGAACCTTATTCGGGGTACTAATGCCCCCTTAAACCCTAAACCCTAAACCCTATAACCCTAAACCCTCAACCCTCAACCCTAAACCCGAAACCCTACTTGCGCCTGAACCTCCAAGTAGGCCTCACTTGAAGGGCCACTTCTTGCCTCGGGCTTTTGGAGTTCAGCCCCCGGGGTCGGGTTTTAGGGTTTTAGGGTTTTAGGGTTCTAGGGTTGTAGGGTTGCAGGGTTGTAGAGTTGTAGGGTTTTTGGGTTGTAGGGTTGTAGTGTTTTAGGGTTTTTGGGTTTAGGGTTTAGGGTTGAGGACTAGGGTTTTGGATTCGGTTTAAGGGTCAGGTTTTGCTGAATCCGGTGCTTTGTCCCAGGAACACCCCTGGAGACGTCGCCAGGACGACATGCGCCGTGGAGACCTGGCGCGAAATTGAACACCAGGGCATCACATACCAGGACCCAGAGCATGCCCGTATTCCTTTCTTTAGGGTTTAGGTTCCCTTATAAGCCACTGTTTAGCGAAAAAGGGCACCGCCTTTATTCCTGAATTACTCTTGGGTCTCGGCTTATACCCCCCCATCAAGTAGAGGAGTTGGAGCTAGAGGAGTCACCCCCCCACCACCCCTCCACCCCTCTCCCAATTGAGGGTTTGGGGTTTAGGGTTTAGGGTTTAGGGTTTAGGGTTTGGGGGTTAGGGTTTAGGGTTTAGGGCTTTGTGCTTTGTGCCCTCCTTTGAGCCGGGTGCGCCGAGGAGTCGTTGGGGTTTGCCAGAACACTCTTCCTCTCGGGCGCGAAGGCCTGGAATGTCACCCTAAACCCTAAACCCTAAACCCTAAACCCTAAACCCTAAACCCGGGGACCGGGAGGTTGCAGTTTGATGCGTCCCCGATGCTGCGAGGCTGCCAGGGCTGGTGGAAGCTGTTCTGGAACAAACACTGCCGCTGGGTGGCATATGGTCCATGAACTCCTACCACCCCCTTGAAGTTTCAGGGTTTAGGGTTTAGGGTTTAGGGTTGGTTTGTTGAGCTATAACCCACGGGAAGGTTCAATGTTCAATATGGTCCTAAGGGGAGCATCGTCAGGATGGCTTTTTGGTTAGGGTTTAGGGTTGAGGGTTCAGGCTTTAGGGTTTAGGGTTAAGGGTTTAGGGCTTAGAGCTTAGGGTTTAGGCTTTAGGGCGCTTTTGGGGAGGGTCCCGATCACAGAACAGAGGTGCCGCAGCGGGCACATGCACGACACGGACGTCACTCCAAAGCAAGTCCTCTCACAGTCATATGCGGAGATTTTGCCCTAGTTCCGAGACCCCAAACCCCAAGCCCCAAACCCCAAACCCTAAACCCTAAACCCTATAAACCCTATAAACCCTAAACCCAAATCTCCCAAAGAGCCACGGAGGTTTGTGCCAGGAACGTCCTGCTCTCCATGGCAGCCTTTGCGGGCATTGGTGAGGCCGGTACTTGGAGGTTCATGGTACTTAGCAACCCAAATACAACTGTCCTTATATCCCAATTATAGGTGGGTTATAACTGTCCTTATAGCCCAATTACAACCCTATTTAGGGTACTTAGGGGGCTTATAAGTGGGTTATAATTGGTTACTAAGTACCCCTGAACCTCCAGTGGGGAGGTGGCTCGAAGCCTGAGTCCTTATGTCCTTGCGACCCTTGACGGTTTAGGGTTTAGGGTTTGGGGTTTAGGGTTGAGACAGAGAGCGCCCTTTCTTGCTCTTCTTCTCGTTGAAAGAGAGAAGACGAACCTGACAAAGTACAAGGACAGAACCACAGGGGAAATGAGCGGAGAGTATGTAGAGCTCTCACCGTCCATTTCCAAGCATCTTCCTTTGTCAGCTCTTACCTTTGCTTTTTCTTTTCGGGCAGTGGCGGACTGGATAGGCAGGAAAGAGAAGCGGAGAAGGGACCAAAGGACACAATGAGATAGAATTGGCTGACTCTGGTCTTGGCGACGGGGGGAGGGACATGATAGGATAGGGGGAAAAACATGTTCTAAATCATCAGAATGGGCGTGAAAGGACGCCATTTGAACTGTTTACCGAAAAGCCATAAGCCCGAGCCGCAAGCCCTTCAAGCCCTAAACCCCATCGGATATCTTTCAAGTGTAGCTGGAAGAGAGAAGGCTATCGCCCTAAGCCCCGCATACAAAGAAAATTACAACCCCGACATATGCTGTCGAGGTGGGGGGCATCCTCCACGATCGCTGCTTGCCGCTCACAAGCTGTTGCAAGTACATCAAGTCGGACTATGCCCCTTGGCGGCAGGGTGTTTAAGCATCAAGAAGCACAAACTCCAAACAAAGGGTTTAGGGTTTAAGGGGTAGGGAATAGGGTTTAGGATTTAGGGTTTGGGGTTTAGGGTTTCGGGGTACCTTAAACCTTATCCCTCAACCCTAACCCTAAACCCCAACCCTGTAGAGACCGGGTCTGGGCTGCCTTGGGTTCGCCGCAGGTGTGCGACTGCCGCGCGACGGACACGGGTTCAGAACATTCATTGTCCCTCAGGGCTCATGTAACTACGTTACTTGGGCCCCTAAAGGGGTTCGGCTGCGCATCTTAAATCCTAAAGCCCAAATTCCCAGTTAAACTGATAATCTTTGTGGATGCTGAACCCCTAAACCCTGAATCCTAAACCCCTATAAGCTTATACTGTAAAGCACAATAGGCCCTGCACGCAGAAGCCTCCAAGAGCAGGAGCGACAAAAAGTGTGGGCAGAGAACCACAAACGTTCTGGGACGTGTGCCCGGTATTCAGGCGGGACAGGGTTTACCCGAGACTCAAACTTTGCCGCACACCCCAAACTAGGGTGTAGAAGCAGGCATGGGTTGCACCCTAAACAGGGCTAGGTTTGAACATACTTGCTAATTTCTACTACACTTACTCCCCTTCATAATCCTTATACAGCCAGAAAAATTGAATTTTGTTAGCGCCCCCCCCCCCAAAAAATATGTAAAAGGGGGTTTCACAGGCTAAGGCTTCAGGGTTATATCGCTACCCACTTGCCCCCCAGCTCTGCTTTTTCTTGACCCTGCCCCCTTATTTAGTTCTATGTTCTTTCGCTACCTGTTGCATTTCCTAAGCCCAGTTTCCCCGTATTTCCCGCCGAATTTTTAGCCCCAACTTTTTACCATCCCCTCATTCGTTTTCTCTCGTTTCCCGCCTTATCCATTATCCATAGGGGATTCTAAGGACAAGCTACCTCATTCATTCCGCAAAACCTACAAATAACAACACCCCTAAAATTTAATCTATCCACCTTATGCGTTCCTATATTCTTAAAGTCCTTCCCATATCATTGTTTGAATGTTTGTTGTTGTTATGATTTATAGCAACAATAAACCTAATTTCTTCCCCATATCTCCCCCTTCTTCGTTTCAGTCTTTTCCCAACTTCTCAAGCTTCTGGGGCTTCCCGTGTTATAGTTAGTCCTTTTGGTAAAGGTTTCATATTTGAAGAAGACGCTCAACGACTACAACAACTTCGAAGAGGCACGTCTGGCATGTCTTAACGTTTCAGTCAGTCGATGCTTTCAGTTCTGACATTGACAAGCAACTCGTGAGCATGAGCACATTTGCTTTACAATGGTAGCAATTCGGCTTTCAAAGCACAATCCCCGCATTCTTTCGTTCGCTTTGCTTCTACCACTTGAGCATGGCGACTTTGTCCGAGATTGTCCCCGAGCTTTCCATGAGTGCTTCCGCGGGCGGCAGTGGTGATGACCCAGAAGACCAGAAGAACCCAATTCCTACCATTTCCCCCGATGTCACTGACGACGAGGAGAGCGACGACTTCAACACAGACGAGGAGAATGCACTCACCAAGGCAGTGAAGGAGATGAGCCTCGATGAGAAGGAGACCTTGAAAAAACGCTACGACAAGCAGATGGAGACGTTGAAGGCAAAGCAGACCATCGTCAGCATGGAGCTTCGCAAGCACCTTCGCGAGATTAAGAAGGAGGAGACCAAAGAGAGGAAGGAGCAGAAAATCGAGGAGAAGAAGGCGAAGACGAAGGAGAGCCGTGAGGCAAAGGTGACGGTGAACATCGTGTTTCAGGGGCGGACATACTCCATGAGCATTTCGTTGATGCGTGGCATTGGTCACCTTCGCGACCGCTTCTTTGAGGATGCCGCGATTTCCCAGAAGCAGGGCAAGGACATCATGTTCACCTTCGGCGACGTGAATCTCTTTGAGACCTACCACGCCAGAAAAAGCTTGCGCGAGGTTGGTATCGTGGACGGCTCGGTGGTCTACGCTTCGATTCGCGGAGTTGGAGGAGGCTTCCGTCGAACCATCAAGTCGCATCTGAAACCAGATGCTGCGAAGGCGGCTTTGAAAGAGAAAATCAACGATGACTACAAGGTTGTCTTTACGCCCACGTGTGACTTCCCCGAGAGCTTCCAGACCTACCTCACTGAGATGCGTCAGTCCATGGCAGAGATAAAGTTGTTGCAGTCCAACGTGAACTTCCCGCTCATCGAGTTGGCATTGAAACAGTTGTCGGTGGAGAACCTCCAGTTGCTCCTTGACATTCTGAAGGTTTCGGAGGGCAAGCGCAGAGGCACAAGCGAGGAGAGGCTTCACAGAGCCTTGTCCGTTGTCTTCCCGAAGATGTGCTCAATGGGTGACTGCATCAAGGCTATCGAGGCATTGCAGGGGGACATGACCATCCAACTGTTCGAGATGTTCATCGACCACTATGGCGTCTTCAGGAACGGGGAAATGGTCATCAATGCTGTCGGCTTCATGGAAGACGTGAAGAAAGAGCTTATCAAACGTGAAATCTCAACCCCGGCAGATGAGCACTTCAAGACCAACGATGCTTCGTGTGTCGCGTTCTGAGCGCGTAGTTCCCTTTACGCGATTTCGCCACCGTTGCCAGTCAGACCACCCGAAATAGGGGACTTTACCGCCCAAAGTAGGGGGACTTTACCGCCCAAAGTAGGGGGACTTTACCGCCCAAAGTAGGGGGACTTTACCGCCCAAAGTAGGGGGACTTTACCGCCCAAAGTAGGGGGACTTTACCGCCCAAAGTAGGGGGACTTTACCGCCCAAAGTAGGGGGACTTTACCGCCCAAAGTAGGGGGACTTTACCGCCCAAAGTAGGGGGACTTTACCGCCCAAAGTAGGGGGACTTTACCGCCCAAAGTAGGGGGACTTTACTGCCCAAAGTAGGGGGACTTCGCTACACGGGAACGGTGCTTGGATTGTTGTCGTCTATGCAGTTGATGACAGCAAGGGACTGAGATGTGCGACCGCAGACACAAAAAGCAGGTGTCACATCAAAGCTCTGCATTATAATCCCTAAACCCCTAAACCTAAGATATACAATATTTACAAAACAGACCCAAAAATAATATCCACCCGAAAATACCCACAAATTCCCAAATAGAAGCATCACCAAATCCCAGAATCCTTTCTATCCTACATCCTAAACCCCCCAAAACCCCAAAATAACAAATATCAAGTAGTCATATGCATAAAAAAGACCCGAAAGCAATATTCGCCCAAAATACCCACAAATTCCCATATAAAATACACCCAAAATCACAAAATAAAATATATCATAGACCCTACACCAAAAAATCATAAATCCCCAACTTCGCCCGAGGGATATTGAATAAGAAAAGAAAACTTTGACTAAGAAAATGACAGGTGGACGTCTACATGCAGAACACTCACCACGACGAGTTCGACGCAACGGTGCGCCCTTCCTTTGGGTTAGGGTTTTAGTTTAGGGTTTTTAGTTTAGGGTTTCAGTTTAGGGTTTAGACCCTAAGCCCTAATCCCCTAAACCCTAAAAACGCGGACAACGTCGGCTATTCCTATCATTGAGACGCAGAAGTCTCCAAAGTGTCGGCTCTTCCTCTCATTGGGACGCGCTTAGAGTTTTAGGGTTTAGTCTTTTTAGGGTTGTTGTGGTTTAGTTCTTTCGGTTTAGAAGGGTTGTTGTGGTTTATGTTAGGTTAGGACTATGTTTTAAAAAAGGGGCATTTCACATTCTTTTGTTTTCGTTTTATTAAAATATTCAATGCCCCTTTTTTGGCGGTGTTTAGGGTTTTAGTATGCTTTATTTATCGGGCAGTCGCCCTAACCGCCGACCACCAGCACCACCCAAGCCGCGCCAAGCCCAGCCCAAACCACACCCAAACCCAGAAAAAACACCACCCAAAAGGACTTAAAGACTTGAAGCCTTATAGGGTATAGGTATATGGTAGAACCCCGTTTAAACGACGTGATGAAGTATGTTTTGAGTAGTAATATCGGTGAAATAAAGAAGAGAGGTAATAAAGAATTAAAAAAAGTAGTGATTAATGGTAATGAATACAGATATAATAAAGAACAACCCTTCTCAACAAAATTAACCAACAAATTGAATTCAATTGCTAAAACTCAAGGTTTTAAACGTTATGAGATACTACACAGAGCAGGACAACAAGCAAAAACGAGACAAGCCCTTAAATCATACGCAATAAGAAGAAAAGCAAAAATCACAGACGAAAGACAAGCACTAAAAAGATACGCGAACACATATTCGATTACTAATATTAATTTGAACGGTTATCGTGGTTTATCTTATTTAAAATACCAAAAAGAAAGATTAACCGAATACTTGAAAAAAGAAAAACAAATGAAAGTGTTAATAGAAGTGGATGTCGCATTTAATCATCCAGAAGAGGATGAAGTAAGACACACAATAAGAAGCAGAAGATACAACATATTAAACGAAGAAGATTTAAACAAAGCCATAAACAACATGGCGGGCGACATTGAGGAACAAATAGAAAACTCACAATTAAAACGTTCAGGATTAACAATAAAAAAGATAATGAAAATAACAATCCATTATGACAAATATGACCCTACAAGAGCAGGGTCTTATATTGAATTACCTAAGTGGATATCATTAAAGAAGGCATGTATCAACATTAAAAACGATGACGATTATTGTTTCAAATATTGCGTTCAATGTTATTTTTACAATATCTTTAAAAATCACAATCCCGAAAGAATGTATCATTATAATAAGTTGAAAAACAATGACTCTTTCTTAAAATGGGATGATGTTAATTTTCCAGCTTCTAATGATGATATAGATTATTTTGAAGAGATTAATGAAGGTAGTATTTCAATAAATGTTTATGTTATAGACGAGGATAAACAAAAGATAAGAGCAGACAGAATAACAAAAAAGTTAAGACCAACATGTCATGTAAATCTGTTACGCTTAGAAAAGGATGATAAAAGTCATTATGTTTTGATAAAGGATTATTCGAGATTAATGAGTTCTCAGACAAACAAACATAAAACAAAACTGTTTCATTGTCAATTTTGTCAGAAAGGCTTTCAGAAAGAAAACTTACTAACGCAACATACTATAAAAGGATGTATGGCAAATAACATTCAAAACGTAGAGATGCCAGAAAAGGATAAAACATTTTTCAAGAACCACTATAAAAAGCTTAAATGTCCATATGTTATATACGGTGATTTTGAATGTTTAACAACACAAACAGATGAAGGTATAAAAGGGACATATCAGGAACATAAACCATCGGGTTTTATGTTAAACGTTGTTAATTCAATAACCGATGAATGTAAGCCTTACTTATACAGAGGTGAAGATTGCATGAACAAATTCTGCGAAACCATGAATGAGATAAGGGAAGAAATCATGTATGTAATAAAACATCCCTTATCAATGAATGACTTAACAGACAAAGAACAAAAAGAATACGACGAAGCCAAAAGGTGTC